AACTTTCTTGTGAGCTCATATTTAATATTCATTGCAAGTATGCACAATTTCATAAAAGCAAATAATGACTATGAAAAAATAATTAATTGAGAGTTTACTCAGAACCAATTTCTACTGTGTGAAGTCTCAGCTCTGTTGGGCACTGCAGGGCCAGTAATGTCGGACGGTGTGTAAAGGTGCTCAGGCAGAGGAAGAGCTCTGCTGCATCACTGGATTAGCCTGTCGGATTTGTAAGTAGTGAAGTAAGAAGCATGAATATCTATCGTCTCTATATGCACAGACTCATCACACATAATCGTAGGTAAATAAATGTCTGTCATCAAGTTTGTAAAATAACAGACTTTAATAATCGTGGTATGTAAACTGATTCTCTTTTAAAATCATGTTTTATTTAAAGTAGAAAATTTGCTCTTTGGGTACGATTACTTCAGGGTGTGCTTAAGGGGATGTCTAAAATAATTTTTATCTTTCTCTGATAGCTTTTTATTCCCTGGTACACATCGCTACATTTTACAGTTATCATCTGAGGCGTATGCTTACTTTTTATTTAAACAAAGTGTCAATATTGATCAAATAAGTGCATAATAAGTGTAACATAAAATGATATTCAAGACAGACAGCTGTAACTGCAAAGTTGTAATCTTGTGCTATGTGTCATTGTAGAGGGGGAATATCAGAAGATATCGCTGGTGTTAAAATGAGGAATGTGCAGCATCTTATTAAGTAATACTTCCGTATAAAGGTTTCACAAATAACTAAATACACATTATTATAGGTATCAGGACTTATTTTGTAAGAAACTGTCTGTTCCAAAGAAAGAACACAGACTTGGAGGAAATTGTCACTTTTGTGGAGGAGGAAATGTTTTGTAGTTTCTCAAGAAACAATGAGATCGATTCTCAAGATTTTGGATCCAGAAAGTGTAAAACTCTGGCGAACAATATTAGGACATTTAATTGCAACATTTTTCTCAAACACTCAGTAACGTCTTCTTCAATATGGCCCTAATACTCCGTTCATATAGTAAAGATGAGGAACTGTACTTCTAGAATTACTGATGGATTTTTACATCATGCACATTTACTCAGTTTACATTTAAACACACAACTTCCCGCTCTTAAGAGCTGATAATGTAGTGTGAAGCTATGCTGTATGTACCTACTTTAGAAGGTATGTTCCAATTATATTAATTCAACTGAAATAACCACATTCAAGGTGTTTTGATGGTAAAAACCTTCAGAGTTTTGACTCTGAGTCATCTCTGTGTGAACAGAGAACACTTCTGCCTTATGTACACATGTTTTCTTCTGT